AGACACTGGACCGAGGATTCTTTGTTATGAAGAGGAGGCAACCAAGAAAGAATCTGCATGTACGGGTCTGGCAGATTATCGTGACAGAAACCATCGTCAACAACTTTGACGCGACCGCCAAGCCCCCAATCGGCCACGGTACATGCCGAAATATCCGTACCACATCCTGAGATCTTGTTTTCAGCTAATTCCTCACTACAGATAGACAGAAGCATCTTGCCAGCAGGACTGGCAGAAGACGGCATCTCGAACGCAGGGGGCAGCCCCTATCCGACCACCCGGGAAAAGGCCCGGGGGTGGGTGGGGTTGCGGTCTAACGTTTGCCGGACTCGCATGGCTTCTGCGATGTATGGGGGCGGGGGGGTGGGGGGGAGGATCGTATGTTGTAGTATCCTTTTGTATGCCATGCTATGCTATGCTAGGCTGTGCCACAGTATAGTATAGGTGATAGGGCCCTCGCCGTGGACTCCGGCTGCTCGAGTTTGCTTGCTGCGTCCTGTCTTGGGAAGGACGGGAAGACCTGGGCAGATGTCTACTGGAAGATCGCTCTGGACCGTGTGGTTCCCTACATCAAGTCCCGCACTTAGTAAGTGAAGGCTGCAAGTTTCAACAAAGAAGCCTCTTTGGATCGGCTTTGCTTTCCGCTCGTTTCTTCAATTCGGTTTTTGAGACGTTTGCGTGGCTCGATTTTGGTGCTTGAGGTTCATCAACGATCAGATGCCTGGGGCCATCATGGCCTACGAGGTCATGAATGTACCTCGGCCTGGATCACTCTATCAAGTGTCGTCTTATTGCCATCGTGTGACGTGGCGCAGACAGACCAGGGATTTGCTACCTGGATGAGAAGGGTCAGCACCACACCCCAGGGCCCCACGAGCGATTCAAGCAATGCGGCTGAGGAGCCTGATCTTCTGCAACATGACGCGAAACAGCAGGCAGTTCGGTCTGCCACTGTGGGACTGGCAACCGTCATGTCGCAATTTCTGGACGACGCTGCTAGGCTGCCTTTGTCTGTTCTTGGCTCCTGAATTAAGTGTCCAGATTTGAGCACGGAAGCTAGACTCAAAGGGGGGCTTTCAACTTTTCAGCGTGGAAGTGCCTGCCACCTGGGGCCCGGGGTCTTGACTCTCGAGGTGGGCTTTGGCATCAACGATGGCACGGAGAATTACAACACCACCACGATTTCCAAGGACCTCCTGGGCCCTTACTCGCCCCTCAAGGCGCCTTGGCGCCGAACGGGCAAGGGAAGGCAAAATGGATTGGAGGTTCATGGGCTTCAGTGCTTCAGTGCATAGCTTTTTGCCCGCAGTTTCAGACGACCTACTCAGGATCGCTGGTTGCTGGACATCCATCACTATTTCAACTGGCCGGCCATGTGCAACGTTTACGGCGATGACGAAAGTCATATCTCCGTGCCCTGCGTGTGTGAGGTCCGGTGGCTGAGTGCGTTCAGGGCGCAGCTCTGTACCACATCGGTTGAACCCACCCCACGGCATCCCGCGGCCCATCGCGGCCCAGTCGCAAAGCCCAAGGAAGCCTTTAAATGGGAGGGTGAAGTTTAGGAGCAGAAGCCCTTGAAGGCCAACGTGCCCAACACCACGCATCAGTACGAGCAGCATGCCTGGGCGGGCTTCATGAAGATGGGGCTCCTGGACAAGGGGTCTCCGGTCTGAACACGAGATCAAATTCACAGACTGGGTCCCTGGATGGGTAGAACTCTGTGTCCGGACATGTGGTGCGACATGCACCCCAATGTTGAGAAGGTCGCCGGCAGTAGGGCCGCTTGTGAGCCCAGCCTAGGTACAGGCTCTACATCGGAGAGTGGAGCGCTGGACTACAGGCGGTGTATGCGGTTCCAAAAAACATCTTGTTTTTGGTAGAAGGGTGAGAATCCCACAAAGCTCCGTGCGCAGGTGGCCCGGAACTGCAACAATCCCACGAAGCTGCCGAATCCCAAGCAGGCCCAGGTCATGTGGAGGGCGCAGAAGCTTCTTGGCCCCCGCCAGGCTTCTAGGAGTCGCAGCTTGCAGGAGCGGCTACTTGTAGAAGATTAAGCTGACTGGCCTAGGTTTTCCTTCCTCCGGAACTACCTACACTACCGGGGCCTGGCAGCGAACGACCAGTCCTCCTTCTTCGGGGACTACTACTGGGCCGGCCGCAGCTTGACGAAGCCATCACCAACACCATCACAAAGGCACCGTCTTCAGGTCATCACTGTCGTCCTTGTCGTCGTCATCATCGTCGTCGTCATCGTCGCCATCATCACCACCACCACCATCATCATCATCATCATCGCGACTTCCAGATTTGCTTCATTGATGTTCATTGTTCTTGCTCTTCCTTCTGACTGCTGTTAGTGAGGGCAGCGACTGGTTCCTACATGTCTCGGAGGCATAGGACTCAACCAGTGGTAAACTATAGTCGTACTGAACACTGGGCCACTAACCCCGGGTGGGGAAAAAACTATGGGGTTCGCCATCAGTGGGCCCAGATGACAGATGCAATGAAAGCACATCGCAGCTTGTAGTTACTTGCAGTTCTAGTCCCCGCCGGCTCTAAGGCATGGGCCACAACTGGAATGCTGATCCTGCCGTCTGCTGCTGCGAAGAGGACGCTGCCAGAACAAGTGAATCGCCGGTTATGTTCAAACATGAGCTTGCTGAGCCCGAAGAGACCTGCATGCATCTACATGCGTAGCCTATGCAAGTATAGGGGATGTGAAGGATTTTCTCCACAGATGTGCATCTCCAAAGGTGAATCCGAATATGCGTCTGGGGTTCCGGCATTCGACGGCTCGGAGTTGTGTTGCTGGGCAGGCTTGGGATGCAGGGGCCATCTCCACTCGTCCACACCTTCAATCCCCGCCAATCCTACACCTTCCACCACTGCGAGCGACAGGACACTGACTGGGTGGATTTCGAGTGGTGGGACTGGAGCCTTTCAAACCTCATCAGGCCAGTCCACGAGCAGAACTTCGGAACTAAATAGCAGGTTGCCAGCTAGCAAGCTCACCTCTGTGCTCGAGACCAGAGATGTGAGAGAAGTCGAGTCGAATCCCTGTCCTCACGACATGTGCAGTGCTTCACTGGGAGCTTGAGGTTGTAATTTTGAGGCGTATGCAAGGGCGAGGATCCGGGCAAGTTTTCGGAGAGGGGGCGGCGCGTATCTGAAAGGCTCGGCTTGGCGAAGCCCTTGTCGCAGATGGGTTGGACGCCAGAGAGCCTCGAAAGCTACGACGCCGGACTGGCAAACCAGTAGTTTTTTCGTGGCAGTGAATCAGTGAAGCTGAAGAGAAGACCAAGGAAGAGGACGTATGCGTGGGGTCCTTCCAGATCGACTGCGGGCCCTTCTGAGCTTCAGGGCTCCTTTCAGCATGTCAAGGAGACAGTCCTAACCTGCACCTCAAACCCCTAAACCCTAAAACCTAAACCCTACTAAGTCACTTGAGCAAAAGACCCGAGTCCTTGGCATTGGAAGCCCCTGCAGGAGCGGCGACAACATGCCGGGTGCATGCTCTAGAATTTTGACCTGGGCTGGCGCGGCCCTAGAGAATGATACTCGTAGTAAGTACGTAATTCAGCCTATACAGTGAGAGCCCATGAGCAGCGGCCATGGGCTCTTAGAACGTCTCGCACGGGAGCATCCCTTTGCATGACCGCAACAGGCATGGGGGGGATGGGCATTTGCATGTAGCTCTGCAGCCAGACGAGAGTCTGACCCAGGTTTTAACTTTGGATCGCTGCACATGTCAGCACCAATTAGTGGGATTGCTTTGTAGCGCCCAAGTGAAGCTCGACTTCATAATGTGTGTAGCCTGAGAACTCGAAGGTTTGTGCGTGCTTCGCTCTTGACTTGCTGGCAAGACAGATGAGAAGGCCGAGCGATCAAGTTGATGGCCTACAGGCACCACACGCCGAAGCACTCAGAACAGACATCCGTCCTACCACTCACTTAGCTAGCTGCTAGCTGTCTGAGCGCGATGATCTACCTGGTCGTAGCAAGCGCGGAGGGTCTTTTTCCGACGATGTCGGTGTGGCTTTCTGTCTTGGCTTTGCCAAAAAGCGCTACACAGGTTGGCACACGTGCTCAAGCGGTGGTTTCCCTAAGTCTGGTCTCATCCCATCCTCGCACGTCTCGGACCTCTGGCATCGATGGGGTTCTTTGAAGGGTATGTTGAAGGCCGAGGGTCAGCTTTCGGAGGTACTTGGCCGCGGCCTTTGATGATGGAAGACACTCGGCTGTTGCCTTTTTTTTCTCCTCAGTTTCACTTGGCAACCTCTGCCTGCAGGGCAGAGTCTCGGCGCTTCAGGCTTTTTTTTCAGCGGTTCCGTTGAAGAGGTTGCGGTTTCTTTGGTTTGGCATTGCCGTTGCTTCACACCTCTAGTCTGATAGGTTCTAACGGCTCACATCCACACCGATGCTCGTGGGTTGAGCCCGACGCTAATCGAGCGTCGTTTAGGCGACAACCTCGCCGAAGGACATGCTTTCATGGTTCGTTTCGGTCCATGGAGGCTTTATGGGCCTTGCCACTTAGGCTTGGTTCTCTACGCCTCACAAGGTGCCTGGCTGCAAGAGGATGAAGCTCGTGTTGGGGTGTTGGAGTTTTGGAGTCACCTCGAGGTTTCCTCGGGCGAAAGGTTGATGGCATACACGACACTCAGAGACTCAGACGGATGCAATCGAAGGTATGAACTATGGGGCCCAGGGACTTGCAGACAGAACCCTTCGAAGCATCTCTTCTGTCTTGAGTCTTTTTAGCACACTTCATGAGCTTCCGAAGGCCCCGCCGGGGCGCCGGTGCCTTTGTGCAGTTGGGTGGTAAGCGAGGCCCGGCTGCAGCTTTGCCCTGCTAAACCCAAAGCTTGGAGCGCTAACAGCGAATACGGTGGTAACTAGTATCACGCCATGTCTGTAAGAAGTGGCAGACACATCAGACGAGACCTGCTTCTTCGGCAGCGTGGCTCAAGCCTGGAGTCTCCGAGTCTTCCCTGCGGCTTTACATGGGCGCGGCCTGCTACAGGAGCCAGGCTGACACCATGAGCGAAAGCCTGACTGATGCGGCGGCTGCAGAGATCATTCAGCAGATCAAGGACAGCTTCGACAAAAAGTCCGAGATCCCAGTCAGAGACAGGCGCAGTGGCGACTGGGTCATCGTGGTCAGCTGCCGAGCCCAAGACGACCGCGAGGAGGACTTCATGACCGAGTGGTTGTTCCTCGCTCGAACTTGATCCCCCTCCCCTCCCCTCCCCTCCCCTCCCCTCACCTCCCCTCCCCTCCCCTCCCCTCCCCTCCCGAAGAGCCCCAGAAGTCGCCACGAGCTCAGGTTTTACCTTCCCGGCTGGAAGCCGGGGTCGAAGCCCTGGGATGCCACTTCCTTGAAGAAGGCTTGGACCGACAACGACAGCAAAGGCGTCAAGCCCACGGGCACGGGCTTGGACTTCTCTGAGGATGGCAAGTCCGTGAAGGAGGTGCCTTTTTGAGCAGGGAGGTCTTGGATGGGTACTGTAAGTGGTTTAGGAATGCCGTCCACAAGCACCTTTCGGAGGACTTCGGAGCCCGAAACAGGTTGAAATGATGGGCCCAACTAGTTCATCTCCAGAAGAACTTCACATGGAGAAGAAGTCGTTGCTCCAAATCGTTGCCGAACCCGGGAGTCTTCTCGAAGCCTCTTTCCCTTTCACATTCCGTGGGCTTACGGCTTACTAAGCCGACGCCCGAGCTTTCCTACCCGACCCTTGCAATCCTGCACAGGTGGACCGAGGCTTCTTTACCGTGAAGGCCACCTTCGATCTCGCTGACCTTAAGAAGTGAGCCCGTATGTTTCACCGATGTCCTGATTCGCTTCTGGTGCAGCCGACCTGACTCCCCCCGCTCGCGATTTGCCCCTGTGCGGAGAGCTCCCCTTTTTGCTGCCAAACCTTTGGCCAACGGCCGGTCAGCCCCAAAGGAAAAGTCCGGTGGGGGGATCTGTGGAACTTGGGCCTCCCGGCTTCTTGGACCCAAGCTTCTCCAATCTCTGGCCAGGTCACGGCGGTGGCCGTGACAAACGATGCCCTCATCGTGGCAGGCCGTGCTTAGTTGGGAGCAGTCTCTCCTCGGGGGCCCACTAGTCACTAGCTGCTAGGAAGTGCCTGAAGGCTTTAGGTCGAAAGTTTCTTCAGCACATTCTTGCCTGGCGTGCTGAGAGTTCAAGTTCCCTTTCAAACAGCCCGTGCAGGGCGGCACTAGTCAGCTACACAGGCGCCAAACTTGGGCCCCAAGCCTGTTACTATTTCAGTTCCAGGAACACGGGATGGCCAGCTGATACTTGCCGGTCCCGGCGACGAGCTGAGGGCTTTAGAAGAAGGGCAGCTCGGCGATGAGGGTTGTCTTGTTTGGTTTCAGGGCAGCACCGGAAGTCAATGGAAATTCAGCAGCGCCTGTAGAGAGACGTTCCAACGCGTGACAAACTGCCTCAGACTTCAGCGGGTGTCTACGCTTGTGGCGGCAGATCCTCTGATTTCGGGCTATGAACGAATTAATCTGAGAAGCGTTACGCTGTTAAGATCCACCAAGGCACAACCCAGCAGCAGTGACTACGCTGCTCCTGAGCCCAGCGACAGACGGCTTGGGAGGCCTGGCGAGAAACGGATGGCGGATGCTGCAGGCTTCTGGCTTTGTCCGGATTTAGGAAGCACCAAGCGTGTGCAGAATTTCAAAGTGCTTGCTTCGCGGCACATGGCAATTACTGTACCGATGCATTGGCACGTCTCCTGAACAAGGGCGCTTCGGATCGAACATAAGCCCGTTTGAGTTCACGATGGGCCAAGCTCTGAATGAACCCTCGAACCCTTTTGGCAGGTGTCTTGCTGGAGGAGGGAGCGCGTGGCCCTCGTGGCCTCTTCTCTGCAGACAGCGCGGGTCGGCTGAGGCGGACCTGGTTGTCCGAGGCTCGGGGTAGCGGGATTTCGCTCGGCATTTACAGGTCAGGGTGGTTCCAGTTTTCGCCTCGGTCGCATCTTAGAGCTGCGAGCATGACAGAATTCTACAGCACATTTTCGCGGGCGAAGTTTGACAGATCTGCTCTTGGTCCCGAGTCTATTGCTGTGTGAGGAGGGAGGCACCTCGGATGCCCTTGCGAGCACGGCGGCCTGCCTGGAATAGAGCTGCCTGCAGTGGGAGGCTACTGTATACTCTGCAGGTCCATTCGTGAGGACCATATAAATACAAAGGTACATGTACAACTATCTACCTATCTATCTATCTATCTATCTAGCTATCTATTTATCTACCTATCTATAATGAACACACACATGCATACATATATATATATATGTATGTATATATATATGTATATATATATACACATATACATATACATACATGCACATAGATAAATCGATAGCTAGCTAGAGAGAGAGAGAGAGAGAGAGAGAGAGAGAGAGAGAGAGGGGGGGGGCAACCTTCTAGCCCATACCCCTGGGGAAAGAAAGAGAGAGAGAGAGAGATATATATATATACATGTACACACACAGAGACAGAAACAGACAGAGACAGACAGATGGCTGGTCCCCGCTCAGCTCTGCGCGGAGCTCGCCTCTGCCATCCTGGCCTTGGAGCTTTGTCCGAAGACGGGCTCCCGGCTGCTAGCAGCTCGGACTCGCGGAGCGGAGGTTTCGTGGAGGTTTGTTTCATGTCAAGGGGGGTTAGACGAGGGGTTTTCCTGCTTAAGTAACCTGTGTGTTATGTGTGAAATGAGCATAGATGGCACTGTTCTTTCTCACTGCTACGATGTGTCTCATAGTACGCTCATTCTCGGGCTGTAGTACGAAATTACTGCTACGGCAAAATGAGGCGAAGCTGAAAGGTCTTCATTTGGAAACTGGGCTTCCTTGGTACTTCCTTTGTAGAGTGCTAGGCTCTGGAAGCTGGACTTATTCGAAGGAGTATGGGGCTATTCATGGAGCTGTTTCCACTTGAGCGTCGAAATCCGTCCCCAAAAAGAAGCAGGGCGCTCAAGGTGTCCACCTCGGAGCGAATTGCCGTCATCGCCGATGCACTGGGCGCGGAGGTCGCGCCGGCGCGGTGGGTGTCTTGTCAGAGAGGTGGTAAAGATGGCCGTAATTTTTGCCAGCTGGCTAGGCCCGCTACGCAGAGACAACACAATGAGTCCTTCAGCCCTTCGGGTTTTGGGGCTTGGAATTGCCCAGGTCGGCTCCAAGCCACACAAGAGCCACCTCACGGCCACCTTCTGTACCTCGGTGGCACGAATATTTGTATAACTTCGGTGCACGACAACCCGCTGCCGAGGCGACCACTTTGGCCCGGAGGCTCTCGCGACATCTGGCTTGACCCGAGGGAGAGCGAGCGAGAGAGAGAGAGAGAGAGAGAGAGAGAGCGGCCCGCCTGAACGAGAGATAGTTTCACATTCCCTTCAAAGCCCCATAACATGTGGGGGCCCTAGTGGTCGGGGCTTCATGCCCTCTGGAAGAAGCGCACCTGAATGAAAGTGGTGGAGCACGTTGTGTATCCCTGCACCCGCGGGCATTGACTAGTTAGTTCGTGTTCCGCAGCGAAACCATGTAAGTGCGCACGATGCCCCGGAGGCCGACCTCATCGCTGCTCGACCCGGCGGGCGTCTCTGGGTGGCATCGGCAGAGAGCGGCACCGTCAGGAGTGGGATTCAAATCTTGGGAGAGCAGGGTTTCGGGTTCACTAGCAGTCCCGCTCATGTCCCCATGGCAGTGGGCTTGGTTTGTAATTAGGTAGACCTCGGCATTGTTCGCTTTTCTCGAGCCTTTGATGTCCCCCGGCGCTTCCGAAGGACGACTCTGATTTTCCAGAATCCGGGTGGCGAGGGAAAGGCCAGGGTTGCAGAAGATGTTTGTTGCATTGCCTCAGCGCAGTGCTTGTGATTTTGTACACAGACGTCGGAGTGGCTTCCTTAATCAGCCTGATTCACCACACAGACCTCTTGGCTATTTTTCTCGCCGGAGGCCGCGCTGGGGTCGCTGCTGCCGTTACGCAGAGACCGTGTGCTCAGTGTCTCCCGGAGCGATACCGCGGAGGCCAAGCTATTCATATCATGTCATCTGATATCGCGTTATGTTGTATGCCATGTCATGCTACGTCAACAGCATCTGTAGATCGAAGGCGGCGTGCTGAGAGTTTTACAGTTCCTGATGGGACAGCAGTTGATCCAGCACTCCATGGATTTCCTGCTTGCTAGCATGGGTTCGAGGTCATGACGGCTTTAGACTCTTGTCTGGTGGTACAGTTGCAGAGGCGTTGGCCCCTTAATGAAGATCATGCAGGTGGTTCTCCTGGATCTGGAGGCCATCGCAATTAGCTCGCAGTGGTCTACACCACCTGCATCTTGGCTCGACCGAAGCTCTTAGTATTTCGGCTGATGTTCTGGAGTCTATGGCCTTGTCATACCTGTATTATCCCGTATCCTAGGGTCCTAAACCCTGACTTGATCTTGTCTTTCCAGCGGTTCCTCTACGGGGCTTCGACGCCGAAACAGCAGGTCGTCGACGCCGTGCCGTGGCCTGGCGGGGCGCTTTTGGCTCATGCACAGGCACGAAAAAGGGCCGGTAAAGGGCAAGGGTTCGTTTTTTTTTGGGAGGTTTCGGAAGAGTCCTTTAACGGATAGCTGTACTATGGCTTACTATGGAACAAACTCGAGCTTGAAGACTGCTTCTCGTTGTGGGGAGCTTAGGCAGCTACGCAACAAGGCATCAGCATCTACTAGTAGTGCACTTCCGAGGGCGGCGCCTCCGTGGTGTTGCTCTCAGCTGGGTGCCTTGGTGGGCAAAGCCCGGTCTGCATTGCAGGGAGAGCAGCGTTCCACAGCGATGTTTGTTGTGACGGTGAGGGTGAGAACTATCAGCTATCATCTGCGCAGACATGTCTTTTCAGGTTGACGAGGTCATCGCTGCAGCTTCAACACCCCCTAGTCTGTAACCTTACATGGCCTACGTGGGTGTTTGGAAGTGGAAACAGTTTGGGGACCGAGGCCTCTGGTGATCTGCATCTCGGCTGCCACTGGATGCTAGGCCTTTCGAAGGTCTTTCTCTTGGCAAATTCAGGGCTCAGGATCTCCACGAGATAGCCATGAGCTTCCTGGCTTCGCTTTGAAACATCTTCGGCCCCAAAGGCGACTTGCGTAACAGGGTCACGACTGCTAGATCAGCATGGGGCTGGTCATGCCGAGCAAAACGCGCGGCCAAGCCAAAGCACTAGATGCATAATAGACAAGGCCGTGTGACCCCGATGTGATCTCGGCGGCTTGCTGTTCAGAATTCATAGTCGTCTCCCTACTGGTCTCCTGGTGCCTCCACGTCCGGGAATGTCAAGCCCATCCCAATCTGAGCGTACAGCACACAGAAGGTCACAGAAGCTTAGAAATCATGGGGCCCTGAACTTCCGCTAGCAATCTGCGAGTACGACCTGTTTCCTCTATAGTTCTACTTTCCCCCCATTTACCAGTTCGAGAAGTCCGCCTTGAAGGCCGGGCGACGATCGCTGCGCATGGTGCCGACCTTCTGGGAAGCCTTGGGAAGGTGAACAACCTGCGGCACTGCCGGCTACCGTTCTGGGAGTTTCCTGATAAGCAGACCTGCATTCTACCACATGGGCATTATACATATTTGTCAACGAGTCTTCTGCGCTTCCACATCATCATTATAGAAGAACATGCCGGGTCCCAGGACCCTGGTCTAATTAGTAAAGCATATTCTCAGCTCCTCTCTGTGGGGACTCTGTGGCATCTGGTTTCAGCTCTGTCTTGGAATTCTCACCGGCCAGGGCATCACTGGAGGCAGTCCCAGCTGGTGAAGTTCTCGAAGGCGACTTCCCCCTTACTGGCTTGTGTGATGCCTCTGGGCTAGGTGACACTGCTGTTCCCGGGGCTTTAAACATGTGGCTGCAATTCGCAACGTGAAAGTTGCTTGTCCAAAATACCGGGATCTTGCCAAGTGCGGAGGCCTTGCGCCGGTGGTCGCCGCGGTCGCCGGCGATATTTCGGAAGGGGGCGAGGCTTGATCCACTTGTCCCCCTCACAGCGGGAAGTCGTAGTTTGCTAATGAATGGACCCGTTTTCCGGGATTGCACTGGTCGCTGCTTCACTGGTCCCTGGTCAGAGTTGGCTACATCCACTGCTCAACGGATTGAGGCGTTAGCCAACACAGCGGCCAGTTGCCCTGCAGCCCTGAGCAAATCAAATTCCAAGTCTCCCACCAGGAAGCAGAACGGCACAAAGCTGCGTTCACGCAATGGGACGCTTGACGAAAACTTCCTCAGGCTATGGTTTCAGCTGTGTTCAGATTCTTTGCATGACTTGCTTTTCATTGGTCTTGACATCTCTCTTGGGATGCATCCTCAACAAGCCTTGGATGTCCTTTGCTGCCATTTTCTCAGTTGATGGGTATCGAGCATAGGCATAGACAGAGCAGTAGGCCTGCGACGGGACGCCTCGAGGTTTCAGACTTGGAGGATCGACAGTTGCTCAGCTGCTTATGGGATGTTACATGGGAAGACATGGAGACGACGAGTCTTTGGGCCGTTGGCATTGTCAGCCGGACTTTGGGAAGCGGTTCTTGTTGAGAGCGCCCAACTTGCGTGTCTTGCGAGGCTCGAGACAGAACGAGAAGCATCGCGAGCAGCAGGCTCCCTGTTCCTTCGAGCAGCAAGGTGTTGCTGCAGTGGGAAACAAGCATGGACTGTGAGCCTTATATGAACCTGTGTAGGTATGATAAGTGCATACACCGGGAGCCTTAAACCCTCATCTCAGCTCACAGCAAGCTCCGGTCCTGAATGCAACAGGCAAGCCATGGGCAGGCGTACGCCTTGTCGACGAAGCTCAGCTTGCTTTCAGTGTAAACACCGGTCATGTTGAGTGCCGGAAACCGACCTGGATCGCAGAATCCAAGCAAACCCGGGAGACCTCTGTTGCGAGCTGATGCCGGGGTGAAGCATTGGTGCTGGATAGGCTTTTCAACACATCTACCTAAGCTCAGCAGAGTCGCACAATGAGGCTGCCCTGTCTAACTTCCCTGTGGCCACCTGGGACGTCCGCGAGGAGGAGCGCGGTGGAGACGAGGCCACGCAAGCTTTCTGCAGGAAGGGCCTTAGACCTAGGGTTCAGGGGTGTTGCCGACATGACCTACTTTCGACGAAGATGCCCTTGGGCCCTTGGGCTTCAAATTCAGTACATGCCACCTACGCTTGAGGCACATCAGCGTGGCCAAGACATCGAAGGACCGGAACGCATCTTGAGCTTGAAGGGTACGTGCCACGCCGCAACTCTTTCCGGAGAACTCCCAACCCCATGATTTCACAACACCGTCCACCTTAAGCCAAAAACGTGTCAGCACGTGGCAGGCCGTACTAATATATAGTGCTTACATTCGACACGTCGATGCTTAACTAATCTTAACCAACCAGTTGTTTCAAGTTCTGCAGGACTTCTCTCTCCGAGCCTGTGGCTGCAGTCTCTGGAGCAGATCGCCTGCCACGCCAAGGAGACCGGCGTCTGAGGGCCCAGGAATTTGGGAAAACGGAGCTTGACACAGAACACGAGATCAAAAACACATTGCACCAACCACCCCCACAAACATCTCAGCAGCCCATATTCACAAGGCATGACCAGGTCTACATGAAGCGTTTGGATGAAGGAATCATGTTTAAGTTTGGGTTCTTCAGGTCGCGCCCTGCCTTGGTGCTTTCGAGCCGGCGTTGCTGCGGCCTATGGTTCAGGCGCATTTTCTCCCATTCGGGGTTCCTATATGGGACAACACGAGACCAAGTCGCTGGGCACGCGTCAGACGGGCTGGGGATCTTTGGGTTGCAGCCAGCGGCCGGCACGATGGCATGAACTTATACGGCTTACCTGGGTCAGCACCAACCTCTTGGGTTGATGTCGGGTTCTGACTGTCGCCATGGCTGCTGGAGCAGCAGCTGATTCTTCGTCTGTCGATCGCCGATTGTCCTCTTGTCTCCCGGGGAGACCTTGAGTTTTGTTGTTCTGGTTTCGCCATGCTGCGCTTGGCCGAATCCGTGCGCTCGTTAGCATCTTTGTCCGGTGCTAGATTGCAATTTCGGAGGCTGGTGTTGCAAGCCTGCACCTTCAGCCACATCTTGGACTTGGAAGAGGGACCGAGTACCGCGGGCGTCTTTGGCCATCCGCTTTGGAAGCTATCCCCGTCTCGCCGTGTAGTCGTGCTCCAGGAGGTTGCGAGGAGTGTCTTGCAGCGGGCTTACCCGGAAAGTCACTTCCAGGATCCTGTTCCAGGGATGTCAGCTTCAGGTTTTGCTCGCCCGTTGCACCAAGCAGAGTGGGATTGGACGATGGATGGCCGAAGGGTTGAGTGCAAGAGTTCTTCTCTCTCCTGGCACAAGTGCGGGTGTCAATGGAGAGCCCAGTTTCATGCTGTGAAGCTTGCGCATGATGGGTGCCGCCAACATGCTTTGTTTGACGGCTTGCTGCTGGTATTGCTCTCCCCAGATTGTCTTGACATTGTCCAACACGATCTGCGAACGGGAGTATCTACCACGGGCTGTAGGACTGGCACAAAGGGCTACAATATTATATTGAAATCAGAGCAGCTGCTCATCAGCTATGCTGGAAGGCAGCCAGGAAACAGATACTTCGCAAGCTCTGCGAAGGGAAGGGCTCCTGCGTGTCTGTTGCACAGGTTCTCCTGTCAGATCCATGCCTTCATGCGACGTTGCAGAAGCATCTTGCAAAATACCCTGCAATGGCTAGTAATCCGTACGACAACCTGCCGCTGAGTTTGTCGAGTCCCACAAGTCGTGGATTGCGCATCCAGCAGCTCGCCTTGGAAATCGATCAAAGGCTGCATCCAGATGCAAAGTTCTCGTTGGGGTGTGGAGGAAGGACTGTGTCCGGCAGAAGGCTTTCAGCGCACAATGCGCCAGTGGATTGGGTTCGTGATGAGATACGGGTTGAGGTCAAGCATGGCAAGCTGGCTTTCATCTCCCGTGCCAAGCGCTGGAAATGCACATTCAGGGGAATCAAATGTGCCTTACCTGGCACTCGTCCCCGGGACCTGTACGACGAGCTGTGGCTCGTGATGTACAGCCCGCTGGGGCTGCACTTCCTGAAAAACCACGGACGGTTTGGCTTGTCAACATCCGGCTTGTCGACCGCAGTCGAGGGGCATCAGGTGCAAGTGTATGGGCCGTCTCAGGAGATGGACAGCAGGGTAGCTGCTCAGGTCGTTTTAGCGAAGCTCTTGCACAGTGGGTGCGTTTTGCTTGCACAGGTCTTGTGGGACTCCTGACGCACCTCCCACGCTCCCATCCAACTTGCGGTCCCAACCCTGGGTCGAGCACGAAAGCCAGCTGCCGTAAGAGTGATGTAGCAGCAATGTAGCACTATCATCTCTCATGCGTTTAGCTGCCAGTATGGCGCAGATCGATGTTGGCTGAAGCTCAGAGTCTTCACCGGTGGGTCTAGTAACGGCTGCTTCTCTCCGAATATGCCGTCTGTCCCAGCGTCTGGATGCCAGTGGCTGTGTGGCATGGATTTGTCTGTTTTGCCTTGTCCAGGCATTGGAGACTACAGGACACCTCGCCGTCTGTCAACACGGTGCGCCCCTGCTGCCGTGGCTGGCCGAGAGGCCCTTGGCATGGCTTTCAACATGTACTATAGGGCCTAAAGCATTACCAATACTGTTTTGGGGGATCCTTATTGTGATTAGAGCATAATGTACCCCAAAACCTTCTTCTAAATTAAGCTCACTACCTGTAGCACTTCCTTCGCTGGTTTGTGAAGGCTGGAGGCCGAGGCCATGGACCTCGGCTCAAGTGCAGCGCTGGCTTTGGAGCTGCTCGTGGCCGGCGAGGACGGCATTCTCCAGACGTTCCCAAATGGTGAATGGTGAGCCTGTTTTTGGCATTGCCGTGACGGAGAATCGTGCCTATAGTCCTAGCTGCATGCGCCCTTAGGCCCTTAGTCTTTGGAAGGTCATCGAGCCTGTGCTTTGCTTCGTCTTGCATGGAAGGATTGGCCTGCGATCGGACTTTCCCCTTCAGCTGGCGGCGAGCCGGCGTCATGGGAAAGGACGGTACTAATACTGGTTTACAGGTGGAGGGTGTTGTTCGCATGGATTTGCGAAATTGGCAGGTGCCTCGGGGACTGACTCTGTTAAGGCTTTGAAACACATGAATGCACCTCGTGATCAAGGCCGTTGTGTTTGATGAATCCAGACTGAGAGATGGTCCTAGGTTCCAGGTGTGAGGACACTGAACGCCTGGAGTCCGACAGACAGTACCAAGAAGCTCCCGCCGCAGGGAACGCCTCGCGGTGCACCTCCGCAATGCAGTGCCTGGTTCAGCCTTGCCTGCTTCAGCAGCGCTGGCACTGTGCCGCTTCTGCTGCTCGGATGGTGAAGTTCTGAAACATTGGCTTGCCTCAAGGTGTGTTGGTGCCTTTGGAGCACATGCCTGGCGATAAGTTGCAGCAGAATATATAATATGTTGGAAAGAGGGTGCACCCACCGTCGCCAAGGCTTGGCCGAGGATGATTCGCTGGCTGCTGAACGATGCCACTTCTGGGCGAATGGACTGGTCGCATCCAGCAGCTTGGTGTTCCCGCTTGCTTAGCACCATGTTGATGGGGAAGTGGCCCAAAAGGCAGGGGCAGATTGCAGTGAGGTGTTTGAATGCCCAGCGCCCAGGTTCTCCTGGCTGGCGAGAGGTGGCTGCCGTCGCCCGAAGTTTCGGTCCCGCAGCACCGGTGCAGCCTGCAAGTGCCACCACGTGGCGGGAGGCCTTGGGATGGGAATGGTGGATAACGTTAGTGTCTAGGTTCCCATTCATGGTTCGGTGGTGACGGATGCTCATTGAAATTGACCTGGGCAGAAGGCGGCTGGATTTTGGTCAAGCCTTGTTACAGGCGGTTCTGGCAGCCCTGGCAGCGGATCGCTGCTGGCCTTTGCACGTGCCTTGGTAGCTGCTGAAGGAGCTCGCCGACAGCGGCAACGCGCGTCACACGTGCTGCCGGTTCACGGGTATGTACTAACTTGGTACTGAGCTCGTGTTTGCCTCCAGCCTTGAATCCGAGGCGCTGCTCGCACAGGGGTTGGCATCAGATGGTGGGGAGGTAGCTGCACCAGGAGCGCTCTCTCAACAATGTCATGCAAGGTGTCAGGCAGTGCCGCATGTCTGGAAGTTTGAAGATTCTTCTTGTGGCTTCCTCGAGGAGACGTTTTTGAGGCCGCCTTGACTGCTTTCCCGAAGGCAAGGCTGCGAATCTACTGTAGTGGACGGTACTTCCTGCATGTATCAGGTAGACTAAACTAAACAGACCTTCCCTGGTTATGGCCCGCTGCAGTGGAGCACGTTGAGCTGGGAGGTGCTGCCGTGGAACATCATCGACTGGATGTCCTGGGCCTTCGAGCATCCTGGCAGTCACATGGGTGCGAGGTCCTTTCGGTTAACACCAAAAGCGCTTCCGTTCACAATCGTTCGCCCTTCGGATAAGCTTGTGCAAGGTCGAAGGCCCAAGGTTCTTGGTCGTTGACATCGCAGAAACAGAAGAATGTGAGCTGAGCCGCACAGGTCCACGCCTCATGGGCTTCGACAGCGTCGAGTGTGGGGCTCAGATGGGCTCAAAGCATGCACTTGGACCATAGAATCTCCAAGTCCTTGTGCCCAACAGCCCAGCTGGCGCTTTTTGAGGACTCGCTGGTGCAGGAGCTCCTCCAGTACGTGATGAAGCTTCTTCCAACCTGCGCCTGGGTCGCATGGACTCAGCTGCTCACAAAATTGTGGAAGCCACCTTTGAAGGCGCAGTCGAATCCTGCGGCCCTGTGAGAGTGGCTTCCAGGTGAGCGCAACGCTGGCTTCGGCGAGCTGCTCAAGGTCGACTCATGTAAGCTTTTGGTGGATACTTTCATGAGCCGCATGAACCCTTCGGCCGCGGTCCATGTAACGCGTTCTTTTGGATCTTTGTTAGCACCGGCACGTCAACAAAAATTCGGAGGCAGCCTTGGCCCTCGCGCTGCACCGCCGCCCTGCCGAGTGGCTGCGGCCGCCGCCACTGCGAGCGCCATGGCAGCCAGCGCTACTGTAGCGTTCTTCAATGGTCCGGCTGTCCGGCGTCGGCTTCCGCGAGCTCTTTTTGGTTTTCACTATAGGCCACCATATATAGGACGCAGTAAAGGTTTGGCGGAAGCACTGATCGAAGGCTGGTCGATGCCTGCTGGCTGACGCCCTGATCCGCCGCTATGGCGCCAAGCACCTGGAACTGTGCCAGAGACTCTGCGACGAGTTGCCACTTGACCAGCAGATCGGTCAAGTCAAGCTGTGCATATTTAAATAAGGATAATGCCATAGAGAGGGGCTGGCATTTCATGTGACGCAGGCGATACCCCCTGGGTGTGATGGAGCTTCTGGTTGGGTGCGAAGAGCCCTGCTGCGACGATTCATCGGACACGTTGGGAAAGATCAACGCCGTGCTTGCCAGCAGCCGACACCTGGCTGAATAATTTGGATACGAGCTCGGCAGAGCAAAGGAAACTCAAATTTGCGTTTTGCCAAAACGGTCGTAGCCGAAAGGTTCACGAAGGCTTCAGGCTTCGCCGTCGTTTGCATCACATGTGCACTCCCGAGGAGCCGCGCAAGACCAGGCAGCCCCTCAGCCTGCACTCTGACAGTGGCCAGAACCCATCGCCTCCCGACAAAAAAGCTCTGGCGACTCAATCCCGCACTGCTCTGAGGTGGAAGTGTCCGAGTCCCGTTTCCGGGAGGCCTCAGCATGGCGCATGGCTTTTCCCCGGTGGGCGCCCCAAAAAAGAGAGAGCTCTTTTGGACAGCGCAGGTGGCGTCGGCGGTGCTGCGTTCTGCAGCTGCCCGGACGGCGGAGGAGGCTTCGGAGCCGCCAGTCCCCACACCAGCACCTTGCCCTGGACAAAGAGGGTCTACCTATAGACTTATAACCGCGAGAGCAGATCATTACTTTATGACTTCAGCGCGGAGCTCTTATCAATTCTCCTGCTGTTCGGTCATCCGCCCTGGAGAGATATTTTACTAGACTAGACGGGTGACATAAACTAATGACTACTGTAGTGACTAGACATGGGGCTGTCAAGGCAATGCAGGGAGGCACGAAAATGTACACGCCTCCTGCAGGAGTCAGGTTTGTCCGCCTTCTATCGCACTCCGCACCGCCGCACTTAATGCCTCCAAGGTGAAGTCACCAACCCCTCGATGCGCTATCTGCGATATGCCGGGCTGCGAAGTCCAGATGGTCCGAGGCCACTACGTCACTAGGGCAGGGACTGAGGTAGTGCCTCTAGTTCGTTGCCTAAGACCCTTGAAACCTGAAGCCCACCATCACGCACGCACCTCTGGGATACAGACCAGCCGTGTCCATGTTTTTGGGGAAGGTGCTTCTCCCGTCGTGCGCAAAGACGGGCGCATCAATGCCTGGCACGACGTGGCTCTTGCATTGTTGCTTGGCCAAGAAGACCTGCACAACAGACCACCTGGGCTAATCTCACGGTTTGAACCAGTTGTCCAATTTGCTTCTTGATTCGTTGCTTGGTTGACAGGAGCCCAGCACAACGATCGCAATCATCTCCGGCAAAGAAAAGGGGCTGTCTCGTGTCGCGCTTCATACCTCACTTTGTCCACTCGCCTGCCGTGCTTTCCAGGTTTTTTTCTGCTGCCCCAATGCATTTCATGTCTGTCTATAAACTCATAAAATCTCAACCCATTCCTTCCTCCATCCCATTCCATTCCATTGCGTTTCATTCATTTCATGTATTCGTGTATTTCCTTCCTTCCTTGCTTCCTCCCTCCCCTCCTTCCTTCCTTCCTTCCTTCCTTCCTTCCTTCCTTCCTTCCTTCCTTCCTGGCTTCCTTCCATCATTATTCGTTCATGCATCCACACGTTCAGCGTGGGAGAGTTTCGATCTCAGTGGAAGTTGAGGCACCGGCTGGCCCGGCCACGGTTGAGCAGCCCTGATGAGCATCGCTGGCAGTTTGTCGCCCGATGAATGTCTTGGATGGTGTTTCATTGGAATCGTCTCGTTTGCAAGATGGGGTGCTACGAACAGCTGAGACTGCTGCGCGCTGTCGTGCAGCAGGCTAGCAAGTGACAGCCCCTGCGTTCCTAGTCGTTCACAGGTGATGGAGGCAGCCAGCAGGGCACCCCCTGGGTTGCTTGCTGCACTGGCGGCGCTCATGCCTGGCCGCGGCGCGACGGAGGCTGCCTTCGTTCATGCTCGTAGTCGGAATCGGTTGCAAGCAGTACGCGCATTGTGGAACTCAGCTGCTGGTCGATTTGCTTGAGAACCAGTAAAGTGCTGTCCGAAGGCATGCTTGCGCAGCATCGAGGAAGAGAAGTTTTCGGGCTCAGGACTGCCCGAGAGAGGCACAAAGTCCCTCCTGCGTGTATGAAGCCGCTCACTGGAGTTTCATGTCAGGACTGCTTTCGGACGGGACCTCAGCTGCTGCGGCAGCTGAAGCACAATGGCAGACAGCGTTTGGCGGAAATTGGCTGCAGCTGCCTCCGGAGCAGAAGAGGCAGAGCGGGAGCTAGACATGCTGCCGGCTTGGATCTGCTTAGCTCATGCCCACTCGAACCTCTACGGTTTACTTGGTTTACCTTGCCTGACAACTTCGAGTGCCTGTCTTGCCAGTCCTTTGCCGCCTCGCCCCCGTCCGCAGCCGCCCCCTCGCAAGCAGCCGGATGTGCCGGAGGGCCTACGCAAAGCAGGACCGCCCATGACTGCTGCTTGTAGCATCTCTGCAGCTCATGGCCGCGGCCTGTCTGTTGGAGTCGGACGGGGGTGCTGCGCTCGCGGTGCATGAAGTGCATGTTGCATTTATGTTGAGTAGACGAGCAGTTGCGATTCGTGAAAACGGTAGGCCAGGTTAGATGCATGCTTGCGTTGCTCACAAGCACGTGGTGCTCTGAGGATCTGGAGTTCAACTCTGTATTTCCGAGGCGGGGAGAAAGGTCGTGAGTGTCGGTGATTGTTGTCGGATCCCTGCGAGTGTCTGGCCAGCCATACTAGTGATCATGCTTATGAGTATCCTGCCAGCAACATCTCAGAGTTCTTCATGGGAGGATTCGAGTCTCTTCTGTCCTAGACTGATGTTATTTACCTGGGTATCATGTCTATCACTATCTATCTAACTAACTATCTATTTATTGCTTTAGTTAATTAATATGTGTGCATATATATATGTATATATATATATGTATAATATATATATATATGACTATAAATATGAATTTAAATATAAATATAAATAGTACACACACATGATTTAACCATAAAAGGAAACATGCATATGGCTCTTGTTAGCAGAGCCCCCCTCCATGAACTTCGTCTCAGGACGGCCTGCAGGCCCGGCATTTGGACGACACCGGTGAAGAGCCGCTCTCTCAGCACCAGGGTACTTTGACCCCAGGGAAGTGACGGCCCTAGGGGCCCCTTAGGCCGGAGGCCATGGCAAGCAAAGCAGCATTTCCGGGTTCCGCTGTAGGCTCCGCTTGCGTGCGCCTCATGGCCAGGATGCATGGCGTCCTGATCGGGACGAGACCACTGGCGCACGGCCGTGCCGGGGCGTACTTCGAGGCAGGCTGAATGGGAGAGGAGTATTGAATATACTGTATTCGTGGTATCGGAATATGTCGAACTTGGTTCATGCTGAGCCAGGGTAGGCTCAATCCTTGCTTCTACTCGGAAATATGTTGCTCGCATTGCTCATTGCGCTCGAAGCCTGTAACTGCAAGAAACGTGGACGGGGCAGGCCAAACGGCCAAATCACCTGCCGTGTGAGAGCAGGTCGCTTTGGAAGAGGTGAGGCCGGGTGAAAGCCCCGACGGCCTCACTGTGGGCGTCACAACCACAGCACCGGATGACGTTGCCACCGTGCCGCAGACGGCGGAGCACATCGCTGACACGCCCCTTGCAGACGTTTGTTAATCTGCTTGGCTTTTTTGTTTAGACAAATCACATCGAATCAACTTTTTCTTGTCAGCATCGCCTTGGCATCAACATGAAAACATTCAGCACTGCAGCACTAGTGTTGACGACCCGCTCTTGCAGCCCTAGTACAGACTGAAGCATTCGGCTCGGAGCACATTTTCCGAACCTGTGTAGCGTCATCTGGATGCTCTGCAGTCGGCTGAGCATCAAGTCTCAGTTCAGAGCAACCATGAAGACAACCGATTTGCACACTCGCAAAGTTCGGGTTGAGCACAGTGCGGAGATTTGCAGAAGCCTTTGCAGTCAGCGAATGCAGGTGGAGTGTGGGCTACGACGGGCAGATGTGGGACTGCAAGAGTGCTCGGCCGAGATGAAGCGTTTGTTGGGTCTTGTAACCCTGGAAACCCGCAGAAACAGTGTGCAGCTCATCTCGATCACCAGTCAGGGATCACTCTCTCAAAGGGATGGCTGCCTGCCAAAAAGCGCTTCGTCTGCACCGATGTACGTTGGATTGTGCTCTCAGGCGCCAGCCTCACGCAGGTGGGCTGGGATCCGCGATCCCTAGTGGAAGGCAGGTTTGGGCTTGGTGGAGGGTTCAAGTCAGGGCTCCGAGCTGTACAGTAGGGCCTACTGTCGAGAGGGGTGGTGCCTGAACATGTCCGGGTGCGCATCGTCATGCTCATGCGCGCTCAAAGTTACCATGGCTGTTGTATCGGGAGTCTTGCTTGTGCAGGCACAAGTATGTGTTGTGACTGTATACAGTAGTCCTGAGTCCTGAGGGACGTGAAGACGCAGAGGATTTGCATTGAAGGGTGGGTGCTCTCGGGCTGCAAGTTGCAGATGATAGTCGTTTGGTATCGATATGGGTAGTTCTCTGAATTAGGGTCCCTTGTAAGGTCCTTTTTCAACTTCACCTCCGCCCGGTCCAGCCCTTCCTTGCTTTGGAGACGGCCTCCACCCCTGCAGAGCTGTAGAGGTGACATCATCGGCGTTCTGGTCACGGCGAGGGAGGGCGAGCTCATCGTCTTCCGGAATGGCTGCCGGGCTAGTGAGGGCTGAGTCGACGAGTCGAGGTCGAGATGGTAGAAGGTTGGGTCTGAAGGGTGCTGTTCCGAAGCAGATGCACAGGCAAACCACGCGAATAACTGAAGGTGCTTCTACTAGAGATCCATCCTCAGGTACAGCCGTCTGTGCCGGACCTCGGTCGATTCCCGTGGACGAAGAGCTGTACGCTGTGGTGGACTTGTTCTTCGGCCGCAGCGAGGAAGGATTTCAGCTCCCTTTCTCGCTCTCTCACCTTCCCTCGTGCTCCAAATGCAGCAGAGGTCTCCCAAACCCAGAGCCAAAAGCCAAGCCACGACCCCAAGGCTCGGTGCCGCCAGGGCGGTGCGCTGGGTCTGCGACGCCCAGCCGCCAGGCCAGTGAAAGCGGGGCGCGCATGAATATAGATATCATTGGCGCCTGGACTTTACCTGTGGCTAGATCGGCCTTGCTGCAACCGAATCTGTCTGCACGTTCTGGAGTGCTGGAGTTGGCCGACAGCCACTGCCTACTGCGATCACTATCATTGAGCTGCCTCTACCACATGCTCCCAGTGCAAAGATGACATTTGGCAACACCGGAGGTCCTGTTTGGTTTTGTGCGGCCTGGAACGAAGCTGCCTGGAGATCTTCGCGAAGCCTGCAGCTGGCCATTCGTCTGCGCTTGCCTGGGCAATTTCGAGAATCCGGAGCGCAGACCCCCATCCAGAAGAAGACTGCAACGCACTTGTGCGCATCCGCAACATTCCGGAGGCCGCGAATCGAATGCGTCTCTTGCTTGGGGAGACGGCCGCGTATCCGGGAGACCTTTGCAGATATGTCTAGAGCCTGAACTCGTCCCATAGCATCATGGCACACAGAGACAGAGAGTGCCAATCATCGTTTCTTCGGAGCCATGTTGTACAGAGCTGCAAGTGTGATGAAGCACTCTTGCGACGATGTAGCATGTTGATATCTGATCATTACCAGTGGAAAAGGACTCTTTGGGGTGGTACACTCCCGGGGTCAGCAGTAATCGCACATTACGACCCCACAACGATTTGCGCCCAACAGCAGAAGTACGATCAGACTGTCCCCCCTAATCGTATGTTGCAGTCACACTAATGTTCTGCAGTTATGCTATGGTGCACTTTCGAGAACCCTTAAAGCAGGCTCAAGATCGGCATCTCCCTGAGGTGCCCAGTGCCGCTGGGCTCTTCCAGCTGCCAGAAGGCCCGATCAAAGAGCCTGAAACTGGTCATCAGTGGATCCAATCTGCATCATTTCCGAATCCTGACTTGTTGCCGAACAGGCTACGGAGTACGTGGCTGGCCGATGCCGGTGGGGAGCTTGGAGCCGTGTGTCTAGGACACGGACATATGCACATCGTGGCACGTAGTTGGGTCCACCTTGTCGAATCGTGATGCTGTTCTTCGGAGTTCTGAATGTACACATCCGCATGATTGTGCACCGGAAAGGCTTTATTTCCGCTTCAGTTCCATGAACAGCACAGGTTGCAGTCGTGGACGGCGAGTTTCTGAAGGAGCTGAGTCAGCGAGCACGGTAGTCTTGCTTTCTTGATGTGAGGACTTCGTTTACATCTGTGAAGCCTCTTGAGCTTTGGTTCGTGGCTGTGGATCTGCATGTTGCTTCTCCGATTAACTTTATCAATGGAGTCTTCGTGCTCTCCGAGTGACCATTGCAGGCTGTCGTGACATGGAAAGCATGAAAGCCGTCGCATGCTCACAACACCCAAATTTAGTTTTGGTTTTCATGCTATATGTGCCCTTCACCTCCTGAGCACCAGTTCTCTTCTCGATCCAGATAGCCCGAGCAGGTTGAGAACTGACAGGTAAAATCAACGGGAAGGGCAGTCCGTGGGGTGGTCCTTCCTTCCCGGGTCGCTTTCTGCATTGCCTGGTTTTTTTGCTTTTTGCACTAAGACCTTTTGGTGCGCAGCGCTGAGTCACAAGAGGGGACCCCGACAGGCGAAGCTGCTCTGAGAAGTTTTGATCCCTCCAGGAGCCCCCACTCCTCGCCCTGACGAATGGCGTGGCCAGCCATCTAGCCCCCCGGCCACACAAAGCTCGGGTGTTTGGGGCTCAACATGATGGGATCCACGCACTCAGGAAATTATCGTCGGAGGCAACAAGCAAGAGAACGGAGTCTTGATGGCACTGAGACGTGTTGGCTTGGAAGTGATATGAAAACCATTGGTCATTGGACAGCTGCGAGTTGAAGTTCCAGGCTCAGACCTGGAGCCACTCGTTGAGAGAACCGCTGGCTGAGGTTTTCGGGCCTTCTCCGAGCAGGTGCCATCGAAGCTTCCGGATGCGCTTTTTCATGCAGCAGCATGAGCATCTTCATGGCGACTTGGAGGAGCCACGAAGAGCCTGCAACGGCAGATGCGGGCTCAGACTTTTATGGCGACTGCGTGCAAGCCTTGATCCGCCGAGCGCAGGAACCTGTCCAATTTCTCCCAAGCACCTGTGACTGGCAGCGGTAGCATATGGCATAAGATGCTGTAGCCGCTTTGAGATAGAACAGGCCGGAGACCTGCTTGTCGTTCCGGCTCAAGCGTTTGCAGCACAGGAGCCGCCCAGGAGACGGTGATAGTAACCGTCAGCAAACCCACCTTGTGCCGGTATGCCGAATCTCGTGGAGCCCGACACCCAGTTTCGCGAGCATTTCGTGGATTTCCGTGTGGCAAAGACGGTGAACACCATCCCCTACGATGCATCTCTACCTCAAAAGCCAGCCAAAGACACGCCTTTGGGCAACCACAGCAGCAAAAAGGTCACCATAGTCGGTATGGGTCAGGTCGGTCTGGGCTGCGTCTGTGCTATCCTCAATCAGGACATTTGTGGGACGCTGGCATTGATTGATATCTCTGCCAAGAAGCTGGAGGGAGAGGCCAAGGACTTTCAGCAAGGAAGCGCCTTTCACCAGCACACCACGATTCTCGCCTCAGATACCTATGACGTGAGCGAGAACTCAGACATGGTGGTTATCACGGCAGGCGTCGCTCAGCAGCCAGGCGAATCGCGGCTCAGCCTGGTTGATCGCAATGCGAACATTCTGAAGAAGATCATGCCAGAAGTCCTCAAGTACTCTCCGAATGCAACCATCCTCATTGTCAGCAACCCCTGCGACATCATGACGGCAATCGCTGCAAAACTGGCCGGTCCCGACTTCCCACAGGGCAAAGTCTTCGGTGCAGGCACCTGCTTAGATACCTCCCGATTCCAGACGCTGATTGCCCAGTCCATGGACTTGGATCCCAAGAACGTCCACGGATACATCATTGGTGAGCATGGGGACTCCTCTATCCCTGTTTGGTCCTCGGTCCGCGTGGGCGCCCTCCCTCTCTTGGAGCCTGGCGAGGAGCCAAACGACACCTTGAAGAAAATCCACAAGTCAGTGGTGAACTCTGCTTATGACATCATCAGCCTGAAGGGCTACACCAATTGGGCCATCGGTATGTCGACCGCCTACATCTGCAAGGCCGTGCTGAACGACACCCGCACGATCATCCCGGTTTCAACTTGTGTGCGTGGCCTCTATGACGTGGAGGGCGATGTCTTCCTGAGCCTCCCTTGTAGCCTCTCCAGCCACGGCGTGCAGCGCGTGGCGGTGCTGCCCTTGACGGACTCCGAGAAGGCGACCTTCCAGAAATGTGCCAAGAGCATCTGGGAGGTGCAGAAGCCGATTTGGGAGAACCTGCTGCCTAAGTCGGAGCCGAAAGAGGTACCCAGGGCGGAGGAGGCTTGAGAGCTGACACGGAGCTCACTGTGGAGAGTGTGAGTGAATTCGCGGTTTTCTCAAATCAGAGCTGCGTCTCGAGGGCTTTGTCGTTTCAAGCATGTCGTTTAATTTCATGCAAGTTCTCCTGGAGCTGTGAATGCGAACCAGGGAGCTTGCAGATCGTGCCGAGGTACCATGAACTTATGGTAGCTGTCAGAAGTGCAAGACAAGACTGCCATAAGCTTGGACTCACCACGCGGATTGTTTCAAGCCTTCGCGAGGCGGGCGGCACCATGCTTCCTAGCCTGCAGGAACTCCTATTCATCGTGCCAGCTGCATGGGCATATCTCTGCTTGGTAGGCAAAGCCTCAAAGTTTGCTGCAGAGGCCTTTTCAATGAGGTCGCCCGATCTTGACCCGCCCTTGTGCAGGACGTGAGCACAAAGACACAAAGACTCGTCCTGGGTCACGCTGCAAGGTTCGCCTTCGAAAGTCACCCACTTCTACACGCCGATTGTGTCTGGAAATTCTCTGGCTGAGGCTGTGGGCGCTTCGTTCCGGGAGACGAGCCGCGTTCAAACTTGATCCGGCGCATGGTGCGCCTCGGGTCCAGGGCTTGTGACAGCCCCGACGCAAAATTGAACATGAGCCGTGTGTGCAACAGGATTCTGCTGCTGTCGCTCTACGGTGTCGAAAAGGTTGTCTTTTGTGCTGGGCCAGGCATGGGAGATCGTGGGCAGCCCTGCATTGCTCAACTCGCCCTTCGAGGCAGCCCACCAAACAAGACATGCATGTTGTCTGCAAATAACTGGTTACACTTCTTATGCGTGCTCCAAGCCACGTGCGAACCTGACCCTGTTTGGATGATGCCTTAGAGATATTTGGGAAGGCATGCAGTAATGAATCCCTGGTTGCGGCCCAGGCCGCGCAGCAGTGTGTGCAGACGGACTTGATTCCTGTGGGCGCCTCTGAACGTCAGTCCGTCCTGGTGCGTTTTGGGCCTCCTTTCGTGGCAGCTTGGCCCCTCTTTCGAAAGCTCATCGGATCTCCCGGTGCCTTGCAGCCGAGGCTTACGAGGAGGAGCTGGGATCAGGCCTGGGCCTGGGTTTCTTGGTCGTGTCGGAGCTTGAGTCCTGTGCCGTGTCCTGGGCAGATGCGTCGCAGCCGCAACTGCTGCATGATGCGATTGCTACAGACTTCTCCTTCCTGGCCAAGGTGCGACTTTCCGTCGGCTCTAGGGCCACGAAACTACCAAGCTATGTGAATATATGTCGTTGGCAAGTCAGTGATGATGTGCAGTTTTGCGGGCTGTGCTCTTCGCGCCGTTAGGGGACTGTTCAGCTATATAGCATGCAGGTGCAGCTCATTTCAGAGCGTGCGACACCCAACCTCCTGCATCCATAGGGCGTGCTGCGTTTGGTGGATGCATTGCAGGTTGATTCATTCTGTAGGCAAGGGGTGGAGAAGACGCCGGGTGCAAGCTGGCTGCTTTTGGCAGAGACCTGTGCAGTCCTCAATAGGAGCATTGTTGTTGGATCTTCTGGAAGTGCAACAAAGCATGCAACAGATTCCTTCTTTGCCTATAACTTAGCTGAAGAAGGCCCATGTTTTGTCGATGAGCTTCCACGGACATGTTGCGCGGCCTGGTGCCAAACTCGTCTAGCGACCAGCAGCCGTGGCATTCTAGCACTGAGCGCAGAGCAGGACAGCCATCGGGGCCCGACTGAACCGGGTAATGTAGGGGCCTTTATACTTAGAATAGAGTTTTGGGCTATATTATACCATAATGAAATTTTGGAACACCCCCCAAAACCCTGTTCCGGTTAAGCAAACCTGGGAGTCGAAGCCTAGTCGAAGCTCGAGGTCTGTCAGCCTCGGGGCAGTGCAAGTCCCTGTTCCGCTACCAGTTCGACGGCTACAGGCGGTTTCGAGTTTTTTGAGAAGCGGGGGGGGGGGAGGTCCTTCGAGCCGCTTCTCATGCTTTGTCAGACGGGAAGAAGCTGCTCGACTCGCCTCAGTAAGATCCAGCTGAGACGCCATGCCTGTGTCCCTGCTTTCGTTCGCTGTGCCCTGTGTGCTGAGATTTCGTGCAGCGTTTCGTTGCCATGCCCAGGTACCGTAAATTCAGCAGGGTAGGAGGAACGGAGAAACCCGCAACTGCATGAAGCACTGGCCTTTGGGTTAGGTGACGTTGAGACTTGAATCAGTTGTGAACTTGACAGGGGCCGGGACGCGTTCCATGGCTCCGAGTCCAGCCCTCATGCAGTCTTGTAGAGCCCGTCTCAGATTGCAAAACTTCTGAGCGACTCTGAAATTTGCTGACAATCAGCGTGATCCTCGCAGCAGCATGGGGCACGGCAGTTTGTGCAAGTCAAGCAGTTTACTGGACTCTGTGTGTGCTCCTGCCTACGAACATTCGGCGCTCACGGATTCTGAGTTCAGAATGACTGACTAAGGCTGACACTGCTCCTGGGCGTTCCAGGTGATGGCGTGGTGGGAAGCCAAGATGGAACAGACGGCAACACCCTCCACCATGTGATGCCCCACAGATTGAAAGTGCTGCAGCACAGTTGCAGTCCGCTTTTCGAGGGTTTCCTGCAGCCGTGGGCTTGTTGGTGCAAGCTTGCCGAGCTGGTTGATGACCCACCGCCAGCCGCTGTAACATGTAGAAAGAAAGAGTGTGGCGGAGGCTTGGCCTGCTCAAGTCGCAGTCTTGCGGCGTGAATGCTTCGACAGGCCAGACTGCGCGGTGAGGAGGTGGTTGCAGTGGTGGCAGCGTCAGAGCACATGGAATTCCACGGGGCCGAATGGTTGCACATGCAACGGCCAGCGCGTCGCTCACACAGAAGTCCGCCGGACAGACAGACCCTGCTTGGCAACAATCGCTGCTTTATCAGCGCTTTGAGCGACTTACAGCATACGACTGCAATGTTGCAATAAGCTCGTGCGTGCACGCAGCTAGCTGGTCAAGTGCACTGGTGCTTTTCCATCGGCTTCAGAAGCATCGACTACAGCCAGACACCATTACTTTGAATTCCGTCCTGGGGGCCAAGCGTGAGTGGAACCAAGCATTGACCTTTCTCGCAGGCTTCCCAATCCTGAGCCTGGAGAGGAGCATCCTCAGCTATGGGGCGGCCTTGCGATGCATCGGCCGTGCAGCAGAGTGGCGACAAGCATCCCTGCTCTTGTCCCAGTTGGAAAAAGCGTCTCTACGGAAGAATGTGATCTGTCTGAATCAGCTGGTCTCTGCTTCCAGCGGCACTCAGTGGGTTAAGGCCCTGGTCGTGTTTGGACAGTCCTTCCTTCAAGGTTTGCGTCTGAACCAAGTCAGCTGCACTGCCGTGGCAGCGTGTGTACCGCCGAGGGAGTGGCGCAGGCCTTTGCTGTGTTTGGAGCAGGCGATGACGAAGCACCTTCGAGTTTCGGGGATTTCGGTGAATGCAGCTGTGAACTCCATCGACAGCCGGGGTTGGCAGGGAGGTCTCCTGTTTCTGGCGCAGCAGTGGCATGGAGTTTTCGTTGATGCTCCGGCTCTCACCACGGCCTTATCCATTCGCTCAAAGGCATCTGCATGGCAAGCGGCAGTGCAGCACTTCTGGGCAGTGCAAGAGACGATGCAATGTGCTACCGCCAGCTGGAACGCGGCCATGTCTTCGTACGAGCGGGGCTCAAGTTGGCAGCAGACTCTCGTCCTCTTCGTGGCGCTCTGCGCCAAGCAACGTGATGATGCTGTCAGCTTCGCGGCGGCCATGTCCGCATGCGCTGCGGGGGTGCAGTGGGAAGCGGCACTTTCTCTGCTTGCGTTGTTCAAGACGAAAGCTGGCGTCAGGGGCCTTGATCTGTCCAACCTCCCCATCCTTCATGCGACTGCCGTAAGCGCCTGTGGACAGTGTGAGCATTGGGAAATGGCGCTTTGCCTGCTGGACAGCCTAAAATTGGATGTGCACGTGCCTGCCAGCAATGCGGCCATCAGCGCTTGTGAGAGGGCTGCCATCTGGCAGCCAGCCCTTTGCATTCTTTCCGATTTGCAGCATGCCCGGTTAGCAGACCTCATCAGCTACAACAGTGCCATGAGTGCCTGCTCGAAAGCTTGGTGCTGGCAGGTGGGCGTTGCACTTTTTTCCGAACTTGCGACAGTCCACATTCCCCCCGAAGTGATCACGCTAAACACGGTACTCAGTGCCTGCGCAGAGGCTGCGCTCTGGAAGCTTGCACTTCACTTTTTCCAACTTTTTCAAGCCAACGTCTTGCAGCACGATGCCATCGCACACACTGCTGTGATTCAGGCGCAAGGCAGAATCAGTCGCTGGCAAGGTGCCATCGACATGTTGACAGGCATGGCCACTGAGAACATAGAATTGGACATCGTGAGCTGTAGCAACGGTATTTCTGCATCGGAGCGTGGTGGGCAGTGGCTTCAAGCAGTGCTGCTGCGGGATCTTTTGGGGAGGTACCGGGTGGGTGTTTCCTTCTATCACACTCTCTCTCTCTCTCTCTCTCTCTCTCTCTCTCTCTCTCTGGCTCTTGATGTCTTCGGTTTACACAGCTTGTCAGAAGAGGGTTGCAGGTTGTTTTCTCAACCGGCGTTTTTGCAGACAACATGAGGAGATGCCTGCGACTGGACGTAACATCTGTCAACTCCGCCATCAGTGCCTGTGGCAGCGTGACCAAGTGGCGTGAGGCTTTGGATCTGGCTAGACATTTGGCGATCCTTGGTGGCGAAATGCAGAGTCGGGCTTGTACCGTAGGACTTCGGCCGACGTTATTTTGAGACGTTTCGAGTCTCGAGCTTAACCTACACAGGGCCAAAGCTCCTCTCTCTGGCAAGCGCCTGGTATCTTTGGCCCCTGAGAGGATTTGCGACGTGCAGCCGGACAGCATCAGTTGCAATGCCTCCCTTGCAGCTTGCTGCCAGGCAGGAGACTGGATGCTGACGCTCTCGTTGTTGAGGCAAATGATGCCTGTCGGGAATCATCTTGATTTACAGGTTGGCTTTTTGTTAATAATGTGTGGCAGTTGGATGTCGCTGCATACGCGCAGCCCAAGTTCAAAACCCAAAGGCAGTCAACTGAACCTGCAGAAACCTGAGATCGCATTACTTAACAAATCTGGAAAACAAGCCTGTCACAAATCTAGAGCCCACTGCAGTCCATTACATAATGGACTGCAGTAGACTCTTTCTACCTCAGGACTCTGTTCGGCGTCCCGGCCTCCTCCCCGGGCCTCTTGGCCGCCATGGCGGCCTGTGCCGCTGCTGCCTTGTGGGAGGAGGTCTTGTCGCTGCTCTCGCAGGCACAGGCCTTCTTTGCTCTCAAATTCGGGTGGGAGCCCAGGGTGAATGTGTACTCAGGCATGCGCTTTCAGAGCCGCGCCTGTCGGCCTCGCCCTGCAGCCCGAAGCACGTGTGCAATGCCGTTTCGGCTGAACGAGCCGTACTCCTCTGCATGTCCTCAGCTCAGGTACAATTCAGCTCTGGTGGCTTGCGGGAATGCTGGAGCCTGGCAGCAAGCCCTGGCCATTTTGCAGCAACTCCCCGCTGCGGGTCTCCAAGCTGATGCCATCGGCTACAGCGCGATGCTGCTGGCTGCAGCTGGGCTCGCAGTGTAGACAGCCGTAGCCAGAGCGAACGAAACACTTTCTGTGCACAAAGTTTAGGGTTAAGGGTTTAAGAGCCTTGACGTCAGGTGGAAGGCACCGACTGGGGTTCTGTGCCCGGCCTCCTCAAAGAGATGGCTGACTCGGCTCTTCTTGCGCTCGAGTTCTGACGACTTTGCGGAGCTTGAAAAAAGCACTGGCGATCTTCGGGATGGGCGATCTTCGGGATCAACATCTATCGGCCTCAAAAACCGCCGTCCTGACACGCCCGCTCGATGAAGAACATGCCATCTGTATTGCATATGTATGTATGTATGTATGTATGTATGTATGTATGTGTGTATGTGTGTATGTACGTATGTATGTATTTTTATAGATTGGCACGCATGTGTGTTTGTTTTTTTTTTTTGGTGTGTGTGTGTGTGAGGTAGTCTTCGCGCAAGTCGAACACGCAAGCCCCGGTCCCTGTCGCACTCCTTTTGCCTCGCTCGCTCTGGCTCCGGCTCCCCCTGAAGCAAAGCCCACTTTGACAAGCGCACCCAGGAGAGGCGGGGCAGCCCCGAGGTGCGGCAGCAGCAGGAGCCCTGGAAAGAGTGACGAAGGCTTAGAGAGCCTTTCAAGTAACGATGGGACCAGTTGTTAAAGCATTCCATGTCTGACTTTGACATCAGAAGATGTGTTGGTCACGGGAGACACCAATCCCAAGCCCAGCCGGGCGCGATTCCTAGGCCAAACTACCGCACAATGGACCACGACGGTGGAACTGATGGATTTAAAGGGCCACTGTGTGCTGGCTTTCTGCGTGCTGCAGCCATTTGGATTTGCTGCAATCGCTCCACCCACAGTGCGCCGCCCGCTTGGACTTTCGGAGAATGCTGCCAGCTGCTCCGCCGCGTGCAGCTTGGGAAGCCATTAAACTTCAAATCGAGGGTCGACGGTTCATCGGGTTTGAGGTACTTCCCGTGGTAGTTCCAGGTTTTGGGTGCTGCATAGTGCTGCAGATTTCGGACTAGACCGTTAATGCGACCTCCTGATTAATTACCCCCCCAAACAACCTGGAATCCGGAATAGTGTTGGTGTCTTTTTTTCTGAAGTTGCGGACTTGTTTGGAGGGGGGGTCGAACTTGTAGTACAGTAGTACAGTAGTAGTACAGTAGGAGTACAATAGTAGTACAGTAGTACAGTAATACTACAGTAGAAGTACAATAGTAGTACAGTAGTACAGTAGTACAGTACAATAGTAGTGCAGTAGTACAGTAATAGTACAGTAGTAGTACATTAGTAGTACAGTAGTACAGTAGTAGTACAGTAGTACAGCAGAAGTACAGTTCCTCGAAATAGTAAAGGCCGGACGGGATTTTAGCACTATTGAGGGGTCTAGATCATCTTTATTATTCTGTGCAGGGCCGGGTTTCGCTCTATTGAGGGGGCCTTTATTAATCGCGAGGTAACATTAAAGTCTGGCACTTGATGTTATGGAGTTCGTGTTGCCACAGGGGGTTTGAAGATTATGAGTGGATGACAATATGCGATATCGCAGTCCGTCAAGTTGGCCGGAACTCCCAGACAGGATCAGCCGGGGAGGGAAAGGTTGATCATGTTGCAGGCTGCTGGAGTCGCAGCTTCACTACATTAGAGATCTAGCTTTGGGGCTTTGGAATGTTCAAATCCGTTCATCCAGCAAGGCTGCACCCACCACGGCCGTCGTCGGCCATCCCTCCTCAGCTGCCCCGGTCCGCCCGGGCATCCTCCGAAACACTTGGAAGGTCGCCAACGAGGCCGAAAAAGGGTGGGAAAAGGGAATTTTTCAGGAAGGCAGCCTTCGCTCTCGCGTACGCTCGGATGGAGCGAATCGAGACCAGACATACCCTTGTGCAGCATTTCCGACTCTTGAGCTTCTTGGGTACAAAGACCTTCCATGCCTCATGACTGTTCTGGACACGTCTCCATAGAGCTTTCCAGAGCCATAGAGTTGTATGCCCAAAGATGGATCCTTCCTGGATGAGTCGCGGACAGGTCATCTGGCCTTGCAGCTGCTGGGCAGCTCCAAGATTGCCGATCTAGCTGACAGAGACTCCGATCGGACATGTCGGACCGGCTCTGCCGAGATTCCACTACCAAGGTTACGCCCTTTGCACCGCGCCCGTGCGTGCTGCCGCGCTGCTGGGTACTGCGCTGGGCCTTCGGCGGAACCGTCGGCGAACCTCGAGGAGGACAAGAAAGCGGCTGAGGTCCACAGGCTTACGCTGGCACACTCTGTGCAGCTTGACACCAGAAATGTATATTGCTTACAGATATCGGCGACCTGCTTTCAGATGATGTTGAATGCATGTACTTGGCAGTTACTGGTATGTGCGCGCATGCATTCACTGCTGCTGAGCTGCCTTGCTGGGTTTGGAATTCGTGGTGAAAGCTTTTGGTTAAGGCTTCGGGTGTTTTGTTGGGCTTAGTTTCCCATGTTAAAACCTGTACTGCTGATGTTTGCCCGGGTTGGTGCTTCGATCATTAACATGGCGTTTACCCATAGGCTCCAAAAGTAATTTGTGGTTTCTATAGTTGGGATAGTGTTGGGATCCTAGAACTCAAAAGGAACTACTGTGGAGCCTCTGGGTAGTTTAGGCCCTAAAGGCCTCTCAAGCTCGGCTGGGAACTTCCTGCCACCGCCTCCTATCGCCTGTGCCAGGATCAGTGGGAGCGTCTCCTGAGCCCTGGCTTGGGTTTTTTTTCACATGAGAAGATTGCATCAAACAGCTTTCAAACTCACTCTCCCAGAAACCCCTCTGAGACATCCCAATGCCGCCATTCACAAGAAACAGAGCAAAACCGCTGGTTCCCACGTAAATAAACGCTTGTCACGTGCATGCATGCATGCATGCAT